GCTCTTATTCACGTTGAATCGTGGCATTTCATCGAGTCACTCTCTCGTCGCGTGAATGGCTCTCTTAACCCCTTGGGTCACTGCGGTTTTGCAGTGTAACCACCTCTCATAGCAAATTTCAGCATGGTTCTGGAAGTGGATCTCGCTCTGAAACCACAATTTCGCTTGATTGGTGCTCTTATCTTGCGGCAGGAACAAGAACGGCTTGGATTTGATGTTATAGGTGACGCCAGAAACAAAATCTATTAATATTAAATAATTGTTTAGTAATTTGTGACTCAAAAGGTTAAGGATCCTAAATTCCTTCAATTTTCCGGGCCATCGACAAAATCACAAGAACATGCAATGAAACAATCGCGAAAAGTATTAACTCATCCCGGCCACCATCCCCCTGTATCCCGCATCGCAGATGGAAGTGTTTCCAGAACGTGATCTTCGACGCCTGCATGGAAGCCCTGATGCTACCCTTAGCCGACCGAGAAACCCTCCACTCCCACAAGGAATACATCGGGAAGCGGTCCGTTCCCGAGGAGATTCTCATCTGAGGCCCATGCTTTCCCAGCGTCCGCCGGGTTTCGTCTCTGGCTGGTAATAAAAGATGAAGTGTATAGCATCCGGCTTGCACGTGCATTTCATTTCCGACGATTTCGCGGATGATAAACGAGTGCAAAACCGCTTCTGCAAAACGGGATTCCCGTTTTGCAGAAGCTGTCGGCGACGTGAAATTGTCGTCTTGCTCGAATGACATTTCCTTCGTGTTTAGAGCATATTCTTTTTGTGAGACCCTCGACGATGCACGAGGCCGCATCGGCCGCTCGAGGGGCCATCGTTGTTTCATGAAAGGGCTCGACGGCGATACACAAAGGACAGAATCACCGTCATCGTGTCGTCACGATCTGTACAAAGTGGACCAATCGTAAATAGTTGTACTCATACTTAACCTCACAATTCATAGCCCAGGTCAAAGAATGTATATTTCCTTGGCTGACGCGAGATGGCGCCTCTTGCGCTGCGTAATTCATTACAGTAAGACAGGTCACTGTTCTATGCCCGTGCCTGATGTTCGGAGAGTGGAATGATTCCACCTGTACCACCCCCGTATTTGTATTCGGAAATGTCCTCCACTGTACCTTGAAAGGAATTGTTTAGGAATTAGAGCACACTACCTAAGGAGGTAGAGCATTGTGAGCCTGAGTAGTGCCGAATCCTCGTGCTTTACCGTCTACTCTCCTCATGCCGAATCGCGGTCGTGTCTCTCACAGACATCTTCTAACCGGCCCTCTCGAACGCACTGGTTCCTGTACAAAAGTCCCCCGTTCGTCCGAGATCCATCTAGACAGTCCGCCTGACCCTTAACTGTGGGAACTCCACTAAGTTTAAGGGCTACGGAGACTTGCCCCCGGCTTGGGTACTGCTTCCATCACCTTATAGCTTCCGCGTGCGGACGATCTCAATTGCACGTGTCTGTATGGACATTGCTGGTGCCTGAAAGCGTATCGAAGGCAATAACCTATTACGGAGGGCCTGATTGGTCTGGCAGGAAAACTGTGTTGTGTTGTTGACACCCGTGGTCTGCATTAAGCTTACATTAAAGATTATTTAAGGTAACCTATCCGACCTCGCGAGTTTTTTTCGAGTTCACCCCGACCCTAGCCTCCAGTACGACCACAATTAATCTGGTCTGCGGACTGGTGGACGGACAGAGCCAGTACTACGATGTCCCGGATTCGGTACTCTGGGAGGGTAGTCTGACGGGAACGGGCCGTCAAAGCCGTCACAGTATCAAGGGAGACAGTGCCTAAAAGAATATCGATTTATCGGCCTCTATATGGGAAATACGAAAATAAATACATGTTCACTGGCATCGTTGGGCAATGGTTTACGGTGGAGTCTCAACAAGGACGTCTTTGCCTTTTCCAGGAATTTAAGGACCTCCATTGGGTACATGCTGCCCATTTCCCATCAAACACGTCATGTGCAAAGTATTGTTCGTTTCCAGGTCCGCACTCGTGATTTTTTTCCCGATTCCGAAGAGAGCATTCAATATGCATCGGACAATCGTCAACGGTAGTCTACTGATAGGAGAGAAAACTGATGTTCCCATTCCCACGAGATCACAAATCGCGGGACCAGAATGAGAATTGAGAAGTAAAATTAGGTGAATTCGGGAAAAAGCTGCATAACAGCTGAACGGATGAGCTTTAGGGCCTATCATATACACGCAGAAGAGGACTTGAGTAGAGGACAATAGACCTAGACTGTACTTAATCTAATACAGCCTAAATTTTCTCAATCGACGACAGCGGTCCAAGCGGATTGATGGAGAAGCTTCCAGAGAGAACATGGCTGCGCGCTCTTCCCGTCTACCATACAATTTTTGCAAAATTAAGATCAAACAGAAACATTATTTTTCCTCTGTGCCTTTAGTATGGGACCTTGTTTTCGTGAATGTGAATAAGGTAGATGTTCACTTTAGGTTTATTATAGGCCTAGACCTACGTCTAAACGTTCAGGCAATTTTTTGTAACTGTAACGTGAATCGGAAGGATCGAGAGAGGAGTCAAGCAGTGTTCTTATGACCTCTAGGAAAGCCTCAAGTACCATTCTGTACACTTTAACTTCCTCTCATGAAATGAGTTGAGCCAAAGAGTGTCTCATTTAGCATTACAAGCCTAAATTATCTGAAATGATGGAAGACTTGTGCAAAACCTTACTGAAAACTTCAAGTAAACTGCAAGATTTCACATGAATGCTAATGTTACTCTAGGAAGGCGCTTCTGTCTTAGGTGATTTACCAGGATGACTCTGTACCGATTTAAAAAAAACATATTCCAGTGGTAGTTTGCTTTGAATATTATAGATTATTAGGAAATGAAACAACATATGTTATACAGGATTAGACTTGCCATCATATTCCTGTGGGAACCGCCCTTTTGGTATGGCAAAGGATGATTCTCACTGCAATATTATTGTAGACTTATGTCTAATTCTGACATCCTGAAAGTTCAGCTTTGAAAAGCTTCTTTTGAAGAATAGTAGTTGTGTGAAATTATTTTTTTAAGCTAGCCACAGTCTGTTCCACTGTCAAAGGGTTTAAGTCTTTTGCAACAAATTTATTTCTTGGAATGGGTAGGAAGTGATTTTTTAGGAAAGCTCTGTGTAATAAATGAAATTTAAACAGAAAGTTTGGGAATACCTCCCTATATGAAATAGCAAAATTAAAGATATTGATGAAGAAAGATATTTAGCTATTCTCAAGAATTCTCATTAACAGATTTATATATCCCTCAATTCTCTGTTTATAGCTGACTGGCTATGGTTAATCTGGTCAGTATAAAATGTTCATCCATGGCTGCTTCAGGTATGAGGTGTAAAAGAGCACCTTCTCACCCTTAATATGCTAAAAAAAAAACTTAAATGCCACCAATGCTGGATATTGGTGATTTCTTTTTTCTTACCTCCAAGTCATGCAGTACCCAATTGCAGTGCTGCTTTCAATTTAAATTTCATTATTGTTATTTTGACTGACTAAGTACTTTTTAAGTTCAAGTTGATGGACTTTAATCATAGAGACAATATATATCATATCCTAGGTAAATTAGTTTCATTTAAAATTGTAAAGCTATTGTTGATTCAGTACTGTACAGTTTGCATCAAATTAAAGTTAGGCTAACTTTATATGTATGCAAGCATCTCATTGAAGTTGTTTTCACCTCATATTGCTTTTCAAGAAGTTAATTCTGTTCTGTTCTACCATCAGGTGTCAAATGACAGGTTTGTGTGCATCATGGGAGATGAAATGGAGAGGGAATCCCTGCACACATCTCCTTGTGTTTGTGAAAAGGAGGTTGTTGGACATGAAGCTTTTTCTATAGAATGTGATGTCTGCAAAACATGGTTTCATGGAGAGTAAGTTATGAATGTGTCCCATCTCAATCAAACTCATGCCCCTAGACTAGGCCTAACATTGAATTAACCAATAATATATTTATGCAGATGTTTTGCACTCTTTGCTGGAAGACAGAGAGCAGACTTATGTAACCTTAGGCCTACAATTACTTGTAGCTTGCTAAGAGTAACAAGTAGGTTATGCCTTTGTGTTAGACCTAAGTAAAAGCATCCCACCCAAGTTGTCAAGTCCAAGTCACTGTTTCTTAGCGTCTTAGTTTCTTCTTCTACATAATAGGCATACCTAGTCTTAGACCTAGGTGTATTTCCTGAGTAGGCCTATTGCCAAAAACTCACATGATTGGATTGCTGTATCTTCAAGGTGTGTCAGGGTCAGAGAGTTTCAAGCTCTGGACATCAACAAATTCCACTGCCCACGATGTGAACCACTATGTGGTCCATCAATTAGTGAGTAATAAGTGTTACAGCCTTTTTTTTTTCCAAGTTCATGAACTTTGCCAGTTTTCACATGTCTGCTATTGACTATGTCTTTATTTATTCATATATTACTCCACAGTGAAATTGACAACGAACTACCACCGGCATGACATGGCAGATCCAGATGCCTCCAGTAAGAAAGTTCAGACAGGAACACCAGTTTTTATCAGAGAAGTTAAATCCAGACATTTCACATCGTAAGTTTTTTCTTCTGCATGATATATAATAATGTATATGGAGACTTGGAAAGTATTGATTGGCTATATGTTTTAATTATTTGTTCTTTTTTAGGGCAGAGAAAGTGATTGTAAGAATGAGGGGACAACAACTGAGCCTACCATACATGAATCAGAATGGATTCATTGCTCCAATCTTGGTTGAGAGCCCTGATGGCCTTGGTCTGAATGTTCCCAGCAACATTTTCACAGTGAAAGATGTTGAGAGACATATTGGTGAGGCTGAAAGGAATCATTCTTTCCCATATGGTATGTCTTCAGAAGAAGACTGCTCTGAATTTTTCATATGTTTGTGGGCAGGATCAGAACGTTTGCTTGATGTGGTGGATGTGATGCGACAAACAACTGTCCAAATGACAATGGGTGAACTGCGGGAGTACTTTTCATCCAAGCAGCGGTCCATGGTCCTGAACTGCATCAGTCTGGAATTCTCTGATACCAGGTGACTTTTGCTTCGTTGTCATTACTTATGTTCTGGGTTTGTTTTTCAAATAGGTTTTAAGACTTTGCTTGGCTCTGATAATCCAAGGACAGGCTGAAACTAATTCCTACATTCATGCAGTGATTGTATGGTCAAATAGAAGCCTATTGGATGCAGATGAAATTGTTAAGTTCAACTGACAAACGTTGCATCCTATTGCTTAACATTTGCAACTTGAAAACATAGTTATTGTACCAAAACCCATCCCATTATAATTGTTTGTGTCTACCCCTTTCCCAAACAAATGTTGAAGATGACAGACTGACATTTCTTTTTGTAGCCTCGGCAAGATGGTGGAGGTTCCTTACATTGTAAGGAAGTTGTGCTGGGTGGAGAATCTTTGGCCGAAAAGTGGTGAAGTGAATGGCAGGGAGAGACCCAAAGTCCAGAAGTATTGTCTCATGAGTGCAGCAGACTCATTCACAGACTTCCATGTTGACTTTGGTGGTTCTTCCGTTTGGTATCATGTGCTCAAGGTATTTTTTTCCTTCCCCTTAAAAATTTTTTTTTTTCCTCAAAAAAGGTGAAGGATAATTGGCACATAGAGATTGGTTGAATCCTCATAAGTTTGAAATATCAACCCAAAATATGATGCATCACAGTTGGGCAAATGTGCAGTAGAACATTTTGTAGTCCAGCAGTACATATGACTGAACTGAATGCGTTTTAGAATGATAATGTGCACATATGAAGTATTTTGTGACTTTAAAATTTTCCTGAATCCTTCAGCACTGAAATTGTTAATGTATCTAGGAGGCCTCAGAATTTTATACCCTTTTTTAAAATGAGAAAATCTTGTCCCCCTATTAAGTAAGAGGGACTTCCAGAAATTGCACCAGGGACTTGTGAGGCCTCTGATGCAGTTATAAGTTCAATGGGTGTTAGCAGCAAGGGTCTCGCCATACGCTCATTGGCCCTTGACGCTTCCCCGTTGATAAGGACAAACTTAATTTTCATGGTTTTGCATTTGTAGTCATTGCATCCCATTCTTCCTTATGGAAAGTCAAGACTTTTCTTCACTCTGCCTAATTAGTCAGGAATATTGTCACAAGAACTCTATGAAATTCTATTGGCATTGAATGACTTGTGCATGCTTAACTGTGAAAATGAGAATATCATCCATTATGCATAAGTAGCACTTGACAAACTTGTTTTGATGTGGCCTTCAGTGCTGAGGCGCCATCTATTGGCAAATAGTATAACTCACTTTAAAATTCTGCAGTCTGCAGTGCTGATGTCACTGACATTTGAGCTTATTGGAGGAGTGAGACAGGGATTATTTTGTGACTTAGGAATTATCTATTCCTTCCCTTAAATTGCTTTTTAAATGTTAATTATGTTCATAATGAATTTCAGTTGTAATAGTGGCAGTCATTAACCCAACTCATTGGCAACATATTGAGAACCCCATCAAATCATGAATAGGATGGAAACCCCCTTTACAGAAGTACAAGTATCCAAAATAAGGAATATAGAGTGTTTTTCTCTCTCTTTTGTGTCAGGGGGAGAAGGTGTTTTACCTGATCAGGCCAACACCAGCCAATCTCTCACTGTATCAACGGTGGATGCTGTCCCTGCCACAGAGTCGATCAGAGACCTTCTTCGCCGACCAAGTTGAGGAGTGCTTCTCTTGTGTCTTGAAGCCAGGAAACACATTCTTCATCCCTGCTGGTTGGATCCATGCCGTTCTCACACCTGTTGACTCCATCATATTTGGAGGCAACTTTCTTCACTTCTATGGCATTCAGTACCAGCTGCAGTCAGTGACTTGGATATTCCATTGACATGAATCTGTCCTACCCTGTTCATCTCTATTATATCTGATATCTTTGTAATCTTTTGTAAATTCTGGAACCTAATATGCTTTTCTTTTGTTTAAGCCATGTATTTCCTTAATTAGTCCAGTGCAAAGGCAACTTCTTTCTTTGTCATCAGAGTTTATGAAATGGAGAAGAGGATGAAGACACCACAGAAGTTCCGTTTTCCCTGCTTGGAAACCCTTCATTGGTTGGCAGCTTGGAGGCTTGTGGAGGATCTCAGGGTTATGAACGAAGAAAGTACACGCTGTTCCACTAATTTCCTTGAGGGTGTTAAAGTTCTCTTGGGAGCCATTAAGCAATGGTCTCTCAACAGGCCTGTGAGTTACTCAATTTTCAAGGTCAGGAAAAAATTGCTAGTAGCAAGTTCTGCCTTTAAGCTAGAGTATGAAGTTCTATATGCCTATCATCTTGCAAAAAGCATAACCTATTTTGTTACACAATGCTTGATGTAGTATGTACTGTAGTTTTAGTATCTTGGTCACAAGTCTCCTGTTCTCCAGACACGAGAGGGGCGAGTGGTGCGATTGGAGGACATTCCAGAGTCAGAAGGAGACCCAGGAAAGTTGATCAGACTTTTGGGGAAAGAAGTGAGGCTGGCAGAGAAGAAGCTGAATGCCTTGAATCCTCCTAAACCTGAGAGGGAGTCCAAGAGAGTGAAGCGAAAGCCTCGTTCCAAGGATTATCTGGATTTATCAGCTGGATCTGTAAATCCTCATCCTCTCCCTCCTCCTCCTTCTTCTCCTTCCCTTCCTCCTCCTCAGAACTTGTCTTCAGAAGTGGGTTCCCTCCTTGTATCATTACTTGTGAGTATGACTTTTTGAGAAGTGAAAAATACATTATAAAAATCCACTCAGGAAGAAAAACCAGACCTCCAGGTGGAGTTGAAAGAAGAGGTAGAATTGTCAGTGAAGACAGAGAACGGAGACAGCCGTACCATATCTCCCCTTCGTCTGACCATTCCCAAGGGCTCCTGGGCCATGAATGGTACTGGGGAAAGCAGTACTGGTACTGAAGATGATGAAGAGGGAAGCATTTTGAGAGAGAAGGAAAATCCAGGGGAGAAGAAGGAAAAGCCAGGAGAAAAGAATGAAAAACTTGGAGAGAAGAAGGAAAAACCAGGAGAGAAGGAAAAACCAGGAGAAAAGAAGGAAAAACCTGGAGAGAAGAGGGTAAAACCTGGAGATAAGAGGGTAAAACCTGGGGAGAAGAGAGTAAAACCTGGGGAGAAGAGAGTAAAACCTGGGGAGAAGAGAGTAAAACCTGGGGAGAAGGAGAAAGAGTATCACCTTGTGATGCGAATCCCTAAATTCCCTTCACCTACATCTCAGGAACCTATGGTTCTCCCTCCTGTTAGGTAATCCAGGCATTCATCCAGCCTTCTGTTCCTTCCAGCATTCCCTATCTTGTAAAGCTTTTTTGATGCTTTGATCTTCCAGTGAGAAGGAGAACCTGGGCTCATCAGTGTATGACTTCCAGGAGGACTCCAGTGATGGAACACGGCTTGTGATAGACGATTCACCTGCTCCACCCCGCAAGAGAAGGAAAAAGAAAGATCCTCCCCTTAAGCTCAAACTCTCAAGTGAGCCCCCTCTTTGAGTTAAGCATACATGTCTGAAAACTTTTCCAAGATCTTTCAATAGTCAGATATCACCCACAGTTTCAGGGAAAGGCTCTGAGTTGGATCAGGCACCATCGGTGAGAAGTGGAATTGACACCCTTCTCCAGGCATCTGGCTATGCAGATCAAGACCCCCCTGCATCTGCTCCTGAAGAGCAGCAGCTGGTTGAGGAATTAGAGTTAGTAGTCTACTCCTTGTTGTCCCTTTTTAGGAGATAAATGTGGTCCTATTTTTGTCAATCACTTATCAACTGAAAACGATAAATTTTGGACTTGAATGGAATTTTAATTGTGGCAATTGTAGGCCAGGGCGTGCATCTCCTTCAACAAGAGAAGCCATAGCTGGGATGCTATCCATCAGTCAGAGCCTCTTAACGACTCCTACATCCTCGTCCCTGTCGGCACCTGCAAACGCCAGTCCCTCCCCTCCACGGAAGAAAGTCAAAGCTCCATTGCTGTTGGAAGATTCTGATGAGTCTCTCGTCAGGCGAGTTCACCAGGATGATGAATTCAGTGAGTGAAGATCACTCTTTAGCTTATCTGTTCCACTGAAGTGAATGAAGTTATGATGAGCCAATTTGAATGCAGTATACCCAGCATTGGAGCTGTCAGACGACGAAGAGCTGGCTCTGTCGGGAAGGTCTCGTGGTGCGGCGAGTCTGAAGAAGCGTGGAAGACCCAAAGGTTCTTTGAAAGGGGGAGCAATTGCTCCTGGTGACAGTGCATGGAGTCCCAGAGCCAGAGTGTTCTTGCCTCCTCCTCGGGAAGATCGTCCGCATCGGGAAGGCAAGAAAAGGGAAGCCGTAGAGAAGGGACTCGAAGAAGCTGCCTCACGAACTACAATCTCTCATGCGTGCCCTCTTCCGTCCTCAAAGGTAATGGGAATGTCTACACCTTTTTTTTTTTCTGCGGTCATTCCCTGTTCAGTAATGAATTCGCTTATCTTTTACTGGGCAACTTGTGAAGCATCTCCATTGTAATTGATTAAGAGCTTTAGAATTAAAACCAAAGGTCATTTAGGCATTGAAAAAGAGGACGCTTGAACTCAGGAACATATACCATCCTAATCCTCTAATCTTCACTATTGAGAGTTTCTGGTGGAGCATAGTTCATCAATTTAGAGTTTGTTTCTGCCATATTCTCTCCAGAAACATGGAGCAGGAGAAAGGAAAAAGTCAGGTTTGAAGCCAAAGCTCAGTGGAATATCAACACCAAACCCTGATCCCCTCCTGGAGCCATCGTCTTCGTCATCCTCAGATCCGATCCCATCTCCGGGTCCTGGTCGTGTAAAACCTTCATCTGATCTTCGAAGTGAGTCTCTCATTCCTCTCGTGACATGTATCGTGGTGAAAAGGGGAAAGTTTCTGAGATGAGGCATTTTTGCTTGAACCGTGTTACAGATCGGAAGCCAAAGAAGGGGATGGCGACAGTGAAGCAGCGCCTCAGTAAGATCCTCAAGATGCACAGAATGCTTTATTGAGAGAGATCTCTGTAGATTAGAAGACAGGGAAAAGGGGGGGGGGGAACAACTTATTTTCATCATAAAAGACATGTTAGTCTTTTCAAAAAGGAATGGGTTAATATTTTTGCTTCAGGCTGAGAGATTTTAATGAAGCATGATGGATAAAACGAGGCCTTGGAAAAGAGGGGGGAACATTTTGTAACTATGGATCAAACATGTCCTCAGGATCTCAAATTCTATACTAATCCATTGGATTTGGAAGGGATGCTTGCCATTGAGGCAAGTCAACCACGATTAGGTTGCTCTTGTCGTTTTTTTTTATCGCCATGAATGAGGATGAGAAACACTAGAATCTTCATTCTGAAATCAGAATGAAGATTCAGAATGAAATCTGACAGAATCTGGAACATTTTCAGCCGTATTGACCTGCAAGCATGTCATATTTTGAGCAATACCACTCTCAGTGCCTCGTTCCTGGCCGATTGCCGACACGCCCCTTCCTGGTGTCATTTTGGTGAAGGGTTCACAAAAAGGAAGAAAAGAGTGAGGGGATTTCCTTCGGTCTAGTCATGACGTGTGAGGCCGGATTCACACCGCTGTTTTGCCATTGGCTTGTTCTTCCCTCCTCCTTGCAGAGATATTTGAGATGATGCACTCGTGATGTCAAGTACAAAGACTTCTTTTGTGTTTGCATTCATGCTCTTTACCCCTATACTCTCCTTTTCACATAACGTGTTTCTGCTGGGAGAGAGGAATAAAGTGTGATTCGGATTGGAATGTGGTTACTTCAGTATCTGCCTTACCTCGACATCGATGAAGCAGAGTCTGTCACCACGCGAAAGAAACTTCGGGGATGCACCAAATATTCGAAGGGACGCATTTTAAAATCAACTAGAAAAATGTTTGGCATTGGATAACTGCAGTGGTTCCACGCTATGTAAGTTCCCATCTGCAGCTCAGGAATGGTATGCCCTGTTCAGCTGCTAAGAATTGCATGTGCAGTCATAGGCGGCGATTTGTTGAGAAACGGGGAGGGTGTTTAGAGACCGTACTCCTCTGCAAGTATTCCTTATTCTCACAGCCATAGTTCGATGGCTGAGTGGTTCTGGCTTCCCGGTGAAACCCGGGAGGCTAGGCAGCAGCGGGCACTTCCTCCGCCGTCAGGCGATCCACCCACCTATGTGTCTGCTTATCATAGGGCAGCACACGCCACGTCTAGGAGATACGAGTGCAGCACACCGTAAAAACCACTCGTGCCAGTCATGGGCTTAGGCAACCTATGAGCTACCCTTAGGCCTCCTATAAACCGTGGAGGGGGTTCCATCTTGAGGAGCTGCAATTTGGGTGTGGTGCCTGTGCCAAGCGAGCATCTCTGCGTACCGTAATACGCCTGTTGTTTGTGTCCGCCACATGCCCTGTTTTTTTAAGTCAAAATAAAATTATTTTCATGCCCTCGCTGTCCCCTCCCCATCCCTTCCAATCTCCGTAATCGGAAAGATTTAGGCCTAGTCCAGAACCGTGGTTTTCAGCCAACCGGACCAGATCACTGGACTGAGACCTCGACTGCACCAGCAACAATTATAGTGGCAATTTGAAGCAGTCGAGTACGTTAAAACACCCTGAAGTCGTAAGCAACCCGCAGCTAGATCTTTCCCTCATCGATTTCCCGCAATTTCTAGTCCCATCCCTCACGAATCCACTCTCTCGTCCGAGGCCTTTCCGATGCTGCTCCCACCGTTTTGGTTGGGCTAACAAAAATTTTTTAAATGAATTGTTGAGGGAGCTGAGCCCCTTCTGCCAATTTTTTTTTTTTTTTAGGGAGGGGGGGAGGCGATTCAAGGGAGATTTTAGGGAAGGGAAAAATCCACGCTTGGCTGAAAAAAAAAATTTGATCGATCGTAGTTTGGATTCTCCTGGTGCTTTTCAAGTTTCTCTTCTTGACTTCAGCACTTGTGTGAAGGCATCCGAAAGGATCCAGAATTGTGAACGTAGGGGACTTTTTCGAAGGAAAGGTCCGCAGAACAACAAAAAACGCATTTTGCCACTTATGAAAACAGAATGACATACGTATACTGACGGAGGGGGGGGGGGCATGTGATCGTATCAGACACACTACAACCATATCCGTAGGATGCTCTTTTCGCAGGAAATACTCGGAACATTTTCCCATCAGCTCGAACAAGCGCATCGTTTGATGACTGTTGACGTATCGTAATAAGGGATGGCTGGGTCTTATAGCGACGAGGATAGACGGGGAAAAGTGATTGGATTCCATCCATGCACAGTGGCGTAGCGAGAGGTGGGGCTGGGGGGGCTGAAGCCCCCCCCCCCCCCTAACTCTGGTCGGAATGCATCCACCCCGACGGGGGGAGTAAGCCCCCAACGTTCCGCTTAGCCCCCCCATTGACGAAAACCTAGCTACGCCACTGCCCATGCATCGGGTGGATTCCGTCATTCGATGGACGTAGGCATGGCTCGTTCCTCCGGCGTCGGTGGGGACGTCGGGGAAGTATCGCGTGGGACCATTCAGGCTGGTAGAGGGAAGCGCCGAGTCAGGACGTTGGCGTTTTTCCTGGTCTCACTTTTTAAGGTGTCACCCGTCACCTGCTGTCACCGACTGCTGGAGACCATCCGTCATTAGCTCGTTTTGCCCTTTCCCCGTGAAAGCTCGATCGAACGGGCCCCGCCGAGAGTCGTTTCCCCCCGAATGGATCCGCGAAACCCGCGGCGTCACCGTAATCCCCCCTGAAATCGAACGCCCTCGACCCCTTGACCCCTTGACCCCTTGACCCCTGCCCCCTCGGCCCAAAATCGGGAACGAACAAGGCCCGAATGTCGAATCCTCTCCCGTCCTTTACGAATCCACGGCCTTCCCGGACCGACAAAACCCTTCGCCCTTCGACCCCACTCGCACTCCGAATCCCACGAAACCAAAAGCCAAAAAATTCGGAGTGAAAATCGCCAGCGAATCGCAACTCACCCGATCCGGTCGAATTCGCCCAGGCCCCAAGACAAAGAGGAATCTCTTGTCATGCATGTTTCCCACCTGTTATCTCGTTCTCTAGCCTTCCTTACGACAGCCTCCCCCGCAAGGCGTGCAATAGTGTCTGCCCCCCCCCCCCCCCCCCCCCCCCCCCCCCCCCCCCCCCCCCCCCCCCCCCCCTCCCCCCCCCCCCCCCCCCCTCCCCCCCCCCTCCCCCCTTTCACATTCCTTCGGGGATACCGAACAGCTGCGCCGCTTGCGTAGCTGGCTCGCCTGCTTCGAGATTCTCCCGTGGTGAACTCGGCTTATTGGTCGCTCTGCTAAAAAGACCGCGAATCCAAATTCCACCAATTTTCGATTCCTATGGGACGGACTCACTCGATTCACAATTCCAGCTGCGACATTAATTACCGGATAAAAACGCGGGCGTGCCTTCGGAGCCAATTAAAAAAATATATATTTTTAAAACATTTAATTTAGCCAGTGGATCTGGGGAATGTGCTCATTCGCCTCTCGTGTTTGTGACGTCGCGAAACTTTCAGATTCGAAAGAAGTACTAGTCATTTGAAGTTCAGATTTCAACGTAAATTCTGGTGATAGCTGAGAGTGACGTCACTTTTTTCTGGTGACGACGTTAGAGCTTTTAAAGAGCGTGACCTGGTGTGACCTGGCGTGACAAGCCAAGCCAAGCCCGCCTCGAGCGGGTTTTGTTCAATCGCGTTGCACTTTCAAGCACGAGCGTGAAAATAATTTTTTTCAATTTTTTTATTTTTTCAATCTGGAGAAATTCGAAGCTCATGGGAAAACAAAAAAAAATAAGATTTTTTTGCGAAAATTGTAACTCGTTGCCGGTTATCGTTACATTTCAGAAATGCTTCTGCAGCTCCCCATTTTAAAAAGTAGCAAATCAGTAACGACGCCAACATGCACAACGCGTTATTCCCCTCTCTGTTGAAGGCCATATCTCGAAAAAAAAAAATCGAACCCTTCCAATTCCTAAAATCGCCTCCGGATCAACGAACGAGACGAACGCGCTTTAGATCTCTCCGCCGAAATGAAATCTCGGACGCAATTTCGTCCGGAAATGAATCGCGTGGCAACCCACGCCAAAATGAGACGTGTGACATTGCATTTTCGAAATTATAATAATCCAAATTTTAAATTACAATTTTTAAATTGAAATGGTTCCAGCAAGAAATGCAGCCAAGTTATCCACAAGTACTAACCCCGTAGTCCCGGCGAAGGCGGATTCTCGAACCGGCAGTTCACCCGTGACGTCACATCATGACGTCATGTCTCCTGGGATGGGGGGGGGAGGGGAGGGGAGGGGGAGGGGGAATGACATTCATTCCGCGTCGAGCCTCCGTCGAGGTCAGTCGTGCTTGCGAGGTTCGAGTCGGGGCTTCGACCTGTCGAGGATGACGAACCAGTACTAGATGGACTGGGGGTACTGTTTACGTATTGGAATTGTGTCGACGCCGTTCGAAGGCGAAGACAGATGATTGCTTGGAGTGTCGTCGTGTTTTGCATCGAGGTGCGAAATGAAACTTCGATCGTCTCGAGCTCTGTGCTGGGAACGCGGGAAAAGTTCTCACGAACGCCAACGTGTGAACGAGGGACGAAGACCGTGGTACTGGCAGTACCCTGGGCAGTACCCAGTAATGTTCTGGGAAATGGGTTGCGACATGAGGCGGGATCCAAAATAGGCCAAAAGTGATTGAGGCTCGAAATTGCAGCCGACTGAGTCGATGACCGGAACCGTAATGGAACCTCAAAATTATTATGTCCTCGAGACGACGCGAATGCCTGGGGCTTTGGAACGTAGATAATCCTCCCCCCCCCCCCCCCCCCCCCCACCCCCCCC